CTGGCATGTGGTGCTGGGGGATTGAACCGCGGTCCCTGTGCTTTGCTAAGCTTGTTCTAAGTAGGTGCTTTAGACCACTGAGCCATCTCACCAGCCCCATTTGCAGATTCTGGTACCTCAAAGAATAAATAGTTTATTCTGCCTTAGAATTCACACACAGGGCCGGGATAGAGCTCAATGGCATAAGCACTTGCCTGGCCAGCAGAAGGTCCCGAGTTCAATCCCCGATACCACAATAAATAAATAAACACATCACAGAGGAGGGGGGAAAAGGTTCTTTAAAAGAAAAGAAAAAAAAGATTCCCACACATGGAGATCTATTAGTGGATCTATAACCTATGTTTGTTTAAAGCAATGAAAAGAAGCGATTGGCCCTCATATTAGTTCAACCCGAAAGCTCCTGAAAACATTTGAGTCTCTTTAGAAATGTCACTGAAACAGCACACCAACATGAAGGACACCTGCAAGCAGTGTCAGGGTAAGAAGCACACTGATTGGATGGAACATCTTTTCATATGCTAGCTAACTGCAACAGTGACTTGAAATCTTCCGTTCTGGTGGACAGCCTTACAGACAGGCTCCTTCCTGCTGCACGCATCTGCTGTGGGATGCGCAGAAGTCCGCTGTCTCGGCAGGCCCAGCGTGCGCTCGCTCGGGTGCAGCCGTCCAAAGTCCACACAGCAGGAATGGACGTCCCCGTGCGCGCGTGCGCGCTTGGCTCCCCAAGTCACTCGAGGACACAGGGCCATGCAGCGCTTGGCTCCCCAGGCCTCCAGACCCATTTGCCTGCAAACACTGCACAGTCTCCCCACCTTCCTGCACACGGTCAGTATAAAGCAGGCTGCTCGCTCCCTTCTGCAGTAATCTCCTACGTTCACTATGCGGCTGGGACCATCTGAAATTATCCAGTGAGACTGGCAAAGGGTAAGTCTCTGTGCGCGCCTTGGCTCAATTTACAGTATCGGTGGGATTTACAAAAGCGCGCTAAAGAACGATGGACTCTAAGTTGTATTTAACCTATTGTGAAAAACGAAGGCGCTTACTTAATTTTGAAAACAAATATGAAAGGCTGGGGTGGGCTTTGGACCCCGCAGAACCTGCCCTCCACACCTGCAGCTCGTTCAACGAAGACAAGGTCTGACCATACAGGATGGGCTTTCTCTTTCTCTTGCCCCATTACTGCTACCAGCCATGCTTCTAGACATTGCAGAAAGTAATTTATTTTAGTTTTAAATATTTTATTTTCAAAATAAGGCATATTTGGAGATGATTAAGAATTTTTTTCTCATGCTTTTTAAAAGTGTATGATTAAAGGGGCTTTAGTATATTCACGCGACCATACAACCATCACTGCCAATTCCAGAACCTTTCTGTATTCCCAAAAGAAAAGGAAGCCAATGGACAGGTGCCACTCCCTGCCTCCCTCAGTCCTCAGGAGCCACCACGCTATGCGTCTGTCTGTGTGCACTTGCTTTATCTGGATACTTTTTTTTGTTTTTTGGTTTTGTTTTTTGCAGAACCAGTGATTGAACTCAATCCCTTGTGCTTGCCAGGCAAGCGCTTATTCTACTGAGCCATCTCCCCGGCCCCTTTATCTGGACGTTTCATATTAAAGGAAATCACGCAGTGTGCACCTTTCTGTCTAGCTTCTTTTGCGCAGCATCGTGTTTTCAAGTCCCACGCATGCTGCAGTAAGAACAGTACTTCATTGTTACAGCCAAAGATTCATTGCACTGTATACCAAATTACTATTTATTTACTGGCCAACAGACATGTTTTTCATATACTCAATAACAAAAATAACTTTATCTAGAAAGACTAGCATACCGTCGGAAGTATCCGTCTGTGGAGTGTAGCCTTCGGAAAGGTTGAAGGTCCCATTATCAGTCCAGGACACTTCTGAGACGTCCGTGTCAGACACCGATAACTCTTTGGCAGCAACCGTAAGGCTAATCTGGGTTAATATAAATACAGTGGCACATTTTAAACCACAGAGGAAATTTTTCTGAGAAGTCTACACTAATGCCCCAAAAGTCATAATCATAAAAACAAATGAGTATTTTCCTTTGAGGTTGTTCAGATGACTGAATCTATTAAGAAAATCATCCAGCTTTGGTTCATATAAATGAAGGTACAATCAAACCACAGAAACAAATTGAGAACTAAACAAAAATACCTTAGGACAAAGAGCAGAAAAGTCTAATTCACTGTCATCTTTGTGACTTTTTTCTTTGTCTGCTTCTGTTGAGAAAAAAATTGGGAAGCTTTCAGAGTCCTGGCACACTTAGACATGTTGTATTTACTTTATTATATAGTCTTACCCACAATCCCCTGTCCGTCAGTGCCTCCCAACAGTTAAGTACCTCCACAAGAGGAGAGTGGCGGCACATGCCTGTCGTCCCAGCATTCTAGGAAGCTGAGACGGGAGGATCACCAAGTTCAACTTGGGCAACTTAGTGAGACCCTGTCTCAAAATAAATTTGTAGAAAGGGCCAGGGACATAGCTTGGTGCGAAGGCCCTGGGTTCAGTACCCAGTATAGAAGAAAAATGCTTGCATATAAGGAACCTTGTGTGAGTGCAGGCCTTAAGAAGCCCCATATACTGCAAGACGCTTGATTGCCAAAGGCAAAGGTCCCCTTTAGTGGTTCCTGGGGGCGACAGCAGCAGCTGCAGCCGGGGGCCTCTTAGGAATGCAAGTTCTCAGGTCCCTCACTTGAGGGCATCAGAGATGGGGGAGCCCACAGACTGCTCTGTTAAGTCCTCCAGTGATTCTGACGCACTCTGGGCTGGGGGCCTGTAGGTCATGGGCCAAGGTGAAACGTCAGAATGATCCCGTTGGTTTTCCTTCTCTGGCTATTTGAGCCTCTTCTCACACAGCTCCCACACACATCCCTACTGCTAGCATGTTATCTGCAGTACAACAGACCAGCTGAAATGAAACTCAGACATGGCAGAATACGTAGCTGGTAACGCCTTCCTCCTTTAAAAAATGGAATTTAAAAGTCCATTTATGTAATTATGTTTGAGAAAAGAGCAAAAGCCCCTATTCATATGGGGGGGGGGTCCTGTAATTCTATTTAGAAGCTAAAAGAGCCCTAGAACGTTCTCATGCCCCCCCCCCCAGCATAAGGACCAGGGCTGGGCCGGCAGGGGTGCAAGGTGTAAGCAACAGCAGGACAAGCAGGACGCCTCCGGACGCCCCAAGCTGCCCACGCCGCGGGCAGGGCTCATGCTTCCAAGTCCAGGATGCTGACGTCTCCGCAGTGTCTGCAGTGCAACATCTAGCAGCCTTCAAGCTGCCTAGCGTCTTCAGCCCCCTTTCAGGCCAAGAACACCAGCCAAGTACGGAGTGCGCGCTCCTAATTCAGCACACTGGGAGGCTCAGGTGGGAAGGTCACGAGTTCGAGCCCCACCTGAGCAATTTAACAGTTTGGGGAGGCACGGTCTCCATCCATCCATCCATCCATCCATCCATCCATCCATCCCAGTGCAAAGGCCCTGCATTCAATCCCCAGTACCATAGCCACCCCCACCCCCCAAAAAGAGAGGCTGAGATAAGGTAACTAAAGCATTTTCAGGACTCACAGGGACATCTAGTGGCCAGCTTTTACAATATGCAGTTCCAAGCTCTCTGGAGCAAGTTTAGGAGTTTCAAATCCTAAACTTAGAATCCACCCCAGAGGCAGGGAGGGGCACAGCCTCACTGAGTCGCCCCAGGCAGGAACAATGCCTAGGTGGGAATGGAGCCGCCCAGCAGCAGAAGGAAAAAAAAGCAGCCCTCAGGCTTCTCCCAGGCCTTCAGAGGATGAGCCCTGAGGTGCCGGCTGACCAAGCGGGCAGACAGACGTATGGGACTGCTGGGCAGAGGCAGCTGTGCAAACCTTCAGCTTCGCCTTTGATCCCCCTTCCTTAAGCCCCTGCGAGTCTGTCCCTCCCTCAAAGACACAGCTTGAGCCCCTGGCGTGGTGCTTCCTGCCAGGCCTCGCTGCTCAAAGCCCCTTTCCTGCCCTTCACCACTGCTGGCTCCACAGCGGCATTATGGGACGGGCAGCCAGGCCCAGTCCATCGGGACATCCAGAGCTAGCGCTTCTGCCCTAAACTCTGGCAACCACCTCACACCAGACCGCTGATGTCACGTATCATGCAGATGCTGAGATTCAAACTTTACTTACCAGCTCTCTCACGTTTCTTCTGATTAATATAGTCTCCAATTCCAAAATCTAGTTTCAACAGAACTGACTTGATTTTGCTGTATATCTTCTGTCCGATATCATTGCATTTAAACAGTGGGCATAAAAATGCAAACAGTACTGAAACATAAGAATGAAGAGTACAGGTGAAACATCACTCTTTTTTACTATTTCACAGAATGTTAAATTTTCTTTATTGAAAAGTGGTAGTTTTTTTGTTTTTAAAGGAAAATGCTTCTGTGAAATAAGTTTCTAATTTCTGTTCTTCCCCTGTAGTGAAAACATGTTTTACTTCATACCACACACACACACACACACACACACACACACACCCAGGCTAACAGACACTGCTTTTCCCTTTGCAATTAGATCACCTTTCTCCCTACAACCCTTTCACTCTGAAAACTTTCAGGAAGCTTATCTGTGTCCCAGACAACTGTCCCGGACTAGAACCTCCCGCTGTTTATTATGTGACTTCTTCCTGTGTGGCGGAAGCCTGCTCTCATCGCTGTCCGCCCCGAGTGGTATGGGTTATATTATTGCTTGAAGCTGGTCTGCTACAGGAGGTGAACTCAAACCACCTGCAAAGCGCCCGGCTCCTACCGCTCCTCCCTGAGCTTTTCTTCCTTACCTCCTGAATAGTGCAGATCCAGAGGCTGGTGCTTTGGGTGAGTTCGAGCTGGAAGACTTGATTTGAGCCCCACTCTGCGCCATTTGTGTCAAGTGTTAGGAGCCCAAAGTGAGATAAAGATCACCTCTCATCACCCAGCATTTCTGTCCTTGTCGCTGTTCAGAGATGTCTCCCATCCCCTTCTAAGATAGGAATTGCAAAACCTAAGAATCTTTATGTGAATGAGTTAGTTAGGATGCCTGCCTCATCAAAAAGTAGCAGTGTTGGGCCAGGGAAACAGCTCAATGGCATAAGCACCTGCCTGGCAAGCACAAGGTCCCAAGTTCGATTCGTGGTACCAAAAAAAAAAAAAAAGGAGCAGTGTCAGACCTACTTTCCAGGAAAGGCAGAAGACCTACACTTTATAATGGCATCTTTTGACTTATAGTTGATATATAATAAATTTTGACATATGCATATAACCAAAACACCACCCCCGGGGGCAGAGTATTTACTAACCTGAGCACACATGCATGCATACACACACGCACACGCACGCGCACCCCCACATCATGGTCTCATTAAGTCTTTTTTTAAAATTTTTTTTTTAACAGTGTGTGTGTGTGTGTGTGTGTGTGTGTGTGTGTGTGTGTGTTTGTGTGGCCAGCTCAGCCCACCAGGGGGCGCAGCTGGCTGGCATGTGGTGCTGGGGGATCGAACCGTGGTCCCTGTACTTTGCCAAGCTTGTTCTAAGTAGGTGCTTTAGACCACTGAGCCATCTCTCCAGCCCCTCATTAAGTCTTTACAGCTGGGTCCTGGCTCTCCTGTCTCCTCTGAGCCTGGCACCAGGCAACCACTGGTCTGTTCAGTTACTAAGCAGAACTCTGAATTTCCTAGAATCACATCCAAATAGAACTACAGCAGGCAACTCCTTACATAGCTTCTTCCGCTCAGCCACACTGCTTTGTGCTTCAGCCCAGAGCTGCGTGCATCCGTGTTTAGTGCTCGGTACTAATCCACAGTCTGGATGTACCAGCTTGCTCACCCGTGCATCTGCTGCTGCCATATGGACTGCATTAGGCCTCATGCTATTCCAAATAGCTTTGCTATGAACATCTGTGTCTTGTCACTGGAGATGCGTTTCCAGTCCTCTTAGGTAGAGACTTCTCTGTGGGATGATCTGGTCATACAGTAGCTGCCTCCCCGCCAACACCGTGTGAGAATCCCACTTGCGCTATATTCCGCCTAATACTTCCTCTGGCCAGTAGTTTTAATTTTAGCCCTTCTGGTGGAAATATGTACAATGATACCTCACTGCACTGTAGAACATGCAGAAAGGCAAACACATAGGTATATGTATGGAGGGCACTCACAAATAGAGCTTACTTATAATTTTACTGTCATAATTTAAAATAAAAGTATTCACTTTTAATCTGCCTTTTTCATATCTTCCCAACATGTCTCTAGGAAAAAAGAGAAACTTTGTACAGCAAGAGATTAAGAAATTATCAACTTGTCATGAAGAACTCAGGCCTCTTCTTCCAAACTACAGAAAGTCTGTTGGCCACAGAATAATGACACTTGCATCATAGAAGTCAGTCAAATATTCCACCATACTTACACAATAGATAGCTGAGTATAACCCCAGGAATGTAACTTCCCAAGACGGTAAAAAATGTGCACACGCTGCAGACCAGGAGACAAAACTGCAAGTAACAAAAACAAGATGGACAGTTATGTGCCACTGAAAGACATTTATGGCTCAAAATTCATACACTGTTGTTTGTTTATACAAGGCCAATGGATTATGGCAAGCGCACTCCAAACAGCACTCTTTGCACTCACTTGGGGACATTCAACAGGCCTTAGTTCACTTTAACACTTGGAAATAGTCCTTTCAGAGGCAGAGGAGCCAGTTCCTGTGACTGAAAATAATGACTCCCATTAGTGGCTCAATTACTGCCAAGTGCAGGAGATCTGGAGCCTAACAGTGTTCACAGGAAGCTCTTCCTCGGTGTCATTTAATAAGAGCAATGCCACCTGACATAATCCAGCCTGAACCTGCAAACTACCACCGTAAGGCTATGGACACTCACACTGACAGCAAGCCATGTTAGAGAAATTTGAGGCATCTTACAAATCTAGTGCTATCTGCACAGCAGGAACCTCCTGGGATCAACCTACAGCCATTACTATCCTCCTTTCTAACAATAGCCACCCATTTCTTGACCACCTGCTAACCAACTGCAGATGAAATGAAACTCTTACAGTGAAATTTTATTATTTTCCTTTTCCCTGAAAAATCTTAGTTGCTTTAAGAAATCTAAAAACAATCCACAAAAATTTTTCTGCTGCCCATTAGAAACTTGGATTAAGACAGAAAAACCTTCCCCTTAAAGTCTTTGCTTAATTTTTACATTTCAGTCCAAGTCTTTCTTTCTGTCTTTACAGAGAGGTAGTAAGAGTACACCAAAAACAAGCAAGGAAAATTCACTAAGGGATTTTGAAAAAGCCACAAGAAGAAGGAACACGTACCTCTCCACAACAGCTGATTAAGGGAAAGAGTCTTAATTTCAGGTGAACTTTATTTGGCATGGGGTTAAAAAGTTAACTAATAGAGCACAATAGATGAACTTGCAGAACAAAATGAAGAGTTCTACGTGAGGTATCAAGTGCCGCTGGAAGACTGGAATTCCAGAAACGAGTGGAAGCAGTAAAGCCACAGAGATGGAGGAACGATGGCCACTCAGAGCATGGTGATGTCTACAGCTAAGTGTTGGAAAGGGATTTATTAGCCCCCAGCTCTTGAAGCATCTTCACCTTCAGCTAGCCAACTTGGGATGCAGCGAGGCAACCCAGCGAGGAAGCTGGAGTTTAGAAGCTCCCAAACTAGGTTTAATCACTTCAGTAAAATAGCCTCCTCCGTGCTGTAGAAGTAAAATGTCCTCTGAGTCTCACTTGGAGGAGGATGCTGGTTGGAAGGGTGGGACTTAGGGGTGTGACCTGCAAGGATGTGTTCTTGTCCTGGCTCCTCCCTTCTCCCTCTGCCACCTGGGGGCCATGATATGAGTGCCTGTCCCCTGCCAACCCCTTCCAGCTTTCTGCCTCGGACTCCGCTCACCATGGAGTGAACCCACTGAACTGTGAGCCTAAATCCTTCAAGTTGTGGGCTTGGGGTATTTTACCCCAGCCCTGGGAAAGCTCGCTAACATACCTGTCATGTGGAGATCTATTATAAAACCTATCTCCTGTGATTAAAGTAAATCAGCCAAACGCAATGCCACTTCATATGCTCAGAATGTTTCCAAGCATACTTCTATTATTTAACGCTACCGAAGCCATGAGAGTGCCAGGGCTGAAAGTGCTGACCTTCCGGCGTCCCACCCAGGGCCAGAGGCCATCGCACCCTGTGAAGCTGCGCTGAGCCCAGAAGACAAGCAACAGCAACGCTGGGCTGTGTCACTCAGGTCGCAGTGGCATCTGTCCCCCACACACGTCTGTCCTCGGAGGCAGGGAGAGCGCCAGGCGCAGTCCGTGAGCTGGGCCAGGCGACCGTGAGGGTGGTGATGCAACAGACAAGGTCTGTGGGGGCTTCTGCGCCTCATGCAGCCATAGTGACGGCTGCCCGAGTGCACACAGCCAGTGTCACACTTCTCCAGGTAGCCCTCGCAACAGCAGAAGACCCCCAACCCGCCGTGGGTTCTCTCCTTAAGTGGAAAAATTCCCATTCTTTTTTAAAACAATTTAAAAAACTCGTTTATTTATTTACTTAGTACAGGGTCTTGCTATGCAGCGCAGACTCGTAGTGCTTCTGTTTCAGCCTCCCCAGTGCCAGGGTTACAGGTGTGCACCACCACAGCCAGTCTCAACGGTCTGCTCAGCATGCCCGGGAGAGGGACCAGTGTGGCAGTGTGGCACTAGGGATCAAACTCCGGTCCTTGCACGTGCCTAAGCAGGTACTTAAACCACTGAGCTATCTTGCCAACCCTCAGCTTGGCTATTAAGACAAGCACCATTCATTCTGATTAATAGCCCAAATAAACACGCATAAAACATAAACCTGGAGCCAGGGAAATGGCTCAGTAGAAAAAGCACTTGCCTAGCAAGTGCAGGGGCTGAGTTCAATCCTTGGTTCCACCAAAAAAAAAAAAACCATAAACCTAATTCGATTTCCACACACGAGGCTAAAGGCTCTCTGGTGCTCACATGCCAACATTTCTAAGGCCGGCTAACCCCAGCTTTTAGAACACAGGCTTCACTAGTGCTGTCAAGAGTTGGAGAACTGACAAGCCGATGAAAGAGGACAGCCCGTCTGTCCCCAAGGGTGTGGCACATTCAGAACCACGCTTCTTTCTGAGGAAACTTACCTTCCCGGGACTCTGCTGTTTAAAAAGAGACATTTCTTGAAGAAATATGCTGAAGCTCACCCACGAGTCTGCAATGCAATGGCTGAGTCTGGGTCTCTCATCTGGTGTGGAATTGATAACTTCCCAGCTGAGGAGAGAAAAAGAGAAATAACACAATAATGCAGACAAGTCTCTCAAGAGTCACGGCTTCAGCAAACATGTACGAAGTCAGCATCTACTGTGGGCCTCGCTCTGGGAATCCTGCACGTCCCCGCAAACACAGAGGTGCAGTCCTCCAGCTGCTGCCCCATGGAGCCCGCACATCAAGAGCAGTGACACCATACCATCGGGCACCCGATCGCAATGAAGGAAACCCAGTGGAGGGCACCGCCGTGGCTCTGAGACAGCATCTCGAACACGTCGTTTGCCAACTCCAATCTGGAGTGCATTCACAGTCGCCATTACCATTCTGGATAAAGCCATGCACCGCAGACGTGGAGACCTCGGGATGGAGGGTGGAAAGCGCCGCCCCACTCTGTCCCAACGCGGCAAGGGGAAAAAGACAGAAACAGTTCAGGGGATGGGGGAGGACCCCAACCCTGCACTTGGCCTGCAGCAAGGACACTTACAGGACTTACTAGAAACTTTAAACCACCTGGTCTGGGAAGCCACCAACCTTCTAAAGAAAACAGGACTGAGCATATAATAGTTATCATAATACACACCAACAACATACTTGTACTTCTGAGAGCTCTAGTGACCGGTCGACTCTCTAAAACATGGCTAATCTCAAGTGGATCTCACAGCAGCCTGGCTTTTTCTAGGGCGCCTGTTCCCAAGCATCATCTGGAATGTGTTAATTGTGATGCACAGGCCAGGCAGGATGTGTGTCCCTGTCCCTACTTTGGAGGAGGTGCCAGGAGCTATAGCAGCGGTGACACACAAAGCCAACGAAAGCGCTGCTAGTGTGATTTTAAGTTCAGCTCAAAATCATGGTGGGTGGGATGGGTCACTGAAGCACCAAAGTGATTAAGAGAAAACCAGGAAAGGAGCTGCTCCAGGTGGGGTAAGCAACGCCACCTGCCAGCGACTACACAGACCACCTCCCTGCTCCTCAGGCTGCCGCGCGGGCCATCTTACGGGAAGGAGCTCTGACTTCCCCACGTAACTCAGGCTTTTCATTTCATGAATAAACACTCACCTGCGCATCCCCGCCTTGCACTCTACTATCAGCAGCAAGCTGTCCTCAAGCCCTCATCAAGCCCCTCTAGCTCTGTGTCGCTGTCCAGCGGGCTCCTGCCAGGCACCGTGTCCCGACCACAGCCCAGGGCAACCACTGCAGAGCTGGACGCCACCGGCGGAGCAGGAGCAGTCCCACAAGGGCAGCCAGGAAAGGCGCAGGCCTCCTCCGTGACCCTCTCGGCCTAAAAGGTCAGTGGCACACCCAGCACAGGGGTCTGGAGGGGCTGCACCCAGGCCATGCACTGCCCGGCCAGGAGGACGCCCGAGAAGCCCAGTCCCCCTTCCAGCTGGACAGCTCTGAGCTGCTCTTTGCACCACTCGCTCGACCCCTGCACGAAGGCAGACATTTCTTTCACGTGACACATCCAAACAAATGTCACCAGCTTTCCCACTTCATTTATGTGTGAAGTAAAAATAACTTTTCTAGGGGCCGGGGAGATGGTTCAGTGGAATAAGCGCTTCCCTGGCAAGTGCATGGGCCTGAGTTCAATCCCCGGTTCCGCAAAAAAAAAAAAAAAAGGCCACAGCCATACAGTCAAATATATATATATGTTTTTAAAATAAATAAAAATAACTTTTCTATTGTCTAGACCCATGAAAAACCATTTTTATCTCACTAATATTTTGTCAAGGCCGAGCCTTAAATGCTAGGTCTCACGCACACCAGGCAAGTGCCCTACCACTGCACTACACCTCCAGGCCTGAAAATCAGTTTTGAAAACATGGTACATGCTGCAACTTTGGCCGGATACTCCCTTTAGAATGCATGATTCAGAAATAATGTCACATTTGTTTACATATTTTTCTATGTAAGGAAATTACCTAAAACTGCAGAGGAGGCAAATCCTCAGTCACCACTGTAGGGATAATGTCGAGGAGAGAATTCACGTAGCTTAGGGTGCTTCATACGGGTCACAGGGAAATACCTAGAGATTCTCTTCTGCATCTAAAGGTCTTGTCCTTTTCCACAGTGGGAATCATTTACCCATTAACTTACTCATTCAATAAAAATGTGCCAAGTTCCCTTCGTACATTATACTACATGTGCCAAACTTTTTTTTTAAATAAATTTTATGTATTCGGTACCCAGTCTCACTATGCAGCTCAGACTCTGAGTGATCCTGCTGTTTTCAGCCTCCTCAGCACTGGCATTACAGGCATGCACCACCACTCCCAGACTCAACGGCCGGCTCAGTGCACCCGGGGGGCAGGGCCAGCAGGGCATGTGGTGCCTGGGATCGAACTCCGGTCCCTATGTTTGCCTAGGCAGGCGCTTAGACCACTGAGCTATCTCCACAGCCCCTATGTCAAACATTTAGAAAGCTCAAATACCTGAACCACTTCTCCTAGTTGTGTGTCCACAGACACTACCACTTGCTGGGAAGAACAGGTGGGTGCGCAGCTTGTGACTACTGACCAGAGCTGTTTGGCAGCAGTTACATGACATTTCTTTGCTTTGAGAAAGTCTCAGGTCATTTGGAACAATAAACCCCAATGATCTGGAATTATTCTGGAACAAATAAATTCCATGGTTACATTTATCTTAACATAACCAATGATTCTCACTGGACTTTGAATTGTTATGATCCCAAACAGAAATGAGTAATTCATTGTCCACGACTTGAAAATGTTATCTAACCAAATGGCTTTTGGAAGGACTAATAAATGTTGGAAGTAAAAATAAATCTTCAGACTTTACTAAATAAAATTTAACAGAAACATTTATTTTCAAAAAGAAAACTGAATTCAAAGACGAGTTATCACTTAGCACTTTAAATGAGACAAGGACACTCCAAAATTGTTCCCTGGCAGTTTAAAAAGTTTACATTTTAAAATTTATTTATTTATGTATTTACTTATTTATTTGGCACAGCGTCTCGGCCTCCTCAGTGCTGGGATTACAGGGATGCACCACCACGCCCAGTTTCGGTGGACAGCACAGTGCGCCGGGTTCCAGGGCCGGTATGACATGTGGTGCCAGGGATCTAACCAGGTCCTTGTGCTTGCCAGGCAGGTGCTTAGACCACAGAGCTATCTCCCCAACCCTAAAAATAGTTTAAAATGGCCCAGAGATTGTTTCTGAACACCACAGTGCTGTGGTTTGTGTCTGGGTGTCCCCCCAAAGCCTCATGCAGTCATGGGGCAGCTTCTAGAGTTTGTGATCAATTCATAATCTAGTGCTGGGATTTCGAGTATGAGAGCTACACCCACCCTGGGGCAGATAATCTGCATACAAATTAAGGAAAGGGTGCCAGCCAGATAGCTAGGCAGACTACAGCATCTGCTTAGGCAGGGCACAGTGGCCAGGGTTTGATTCCCAGGCTCCATTCCTGGGGCACACTGACCGGGTGATTGAGACTGGGCGTGGTGGTACATGCCTAGAATCCCAGCGCTGGGAGGCTGAAAACAGAAGAATCACTACGAGTCCGATCTACGTAGTTAGACTGTGTACTAAATCCATTTTTAAAAAAATTAAGGGAGAGGCTTGTGAGCAGGCGGCTCCTCCCTTGCTCTCCGCTGTTTTCCACTGCCATGAACTGCTGTCCTCTGCCACACGCCACTCTGCCTTGGAGCCAGCTGAGTATGGCCTGAAGCTTCCACTAACTGTGAGCTAAATAAACCTTTCCTCCTTGATTTGGGGTGTTGGGTACTTTGTCCCAGCAACGAGAGACAAGCAACTGAGACAGAATTCGAGAACACATTTCTAGAGCCTTGCACTAGCTTATGTCACCGCTATTCAGTTTGTGAACCACAGAGTCATTTCCTTTGGACACGAGAGAACGTTTAATGTCAACTTTTCCAAATCCCTTATTTTATAGATAAACACCTTGAAACCCATGCACACTTTCTCAGTTTGGAGCAGAGCCAAGACCCAAGACTGAGGCTCCAATTCCAACACAGTTCTGTTCCCTGAAGAGAATACATGTGAACACGCGTGTTCACGTCCTATGATGAATAAACTCAGTGGCCTCCTTTGAAAAGAGCACGTCGTAGCGCAAGTGAGTAGGAACATGTCACGCTCCTCATGCTCCTTCCTAGAGAGGGATAAGGTGTGATGGCACGCGCCACTCGCGTGACGGGACCAACCCTTTCCAGGAAAGCCGAGTACTATGTGTGCAGGATCAAAACTCAGTGGAAACTAAGACCCAGGCTTGGTGGCAGATTGGTGTTTTATACAGGTGATGTCCCTACACACACACAGAGTTGCTCCAGAGTGAGATGCTAGGATTTCCTAGAGAGCCTTGTCTGAGAAACACAGCTAAAGGAAGACCTCCTGTGGTACCAGACAGGGTTCTGGAAACATCCCTTCCACCACGTGTGGCTGCCCTTCCATGGCCTTGGCGTGGAAGGGAAGTCAACATGCGACCCAACCAATACAAAATGCACTGCAGTGCCCACCCTCAGCCACATGAGCTTTGGCAGAGAGACCAAACACACCCGGAGGAAAGACAGCCTCATTACCCAGTGGGACTGGGCGAACTGACATTCACATGCAGAAGACTGAATCCACCTCTCCTCATGTATTAAACTAAAATCTAGTGGATCAAAGACCTAAAGGTTAAAAGATATAAACACCTGGGGTAGACAGATAGCTCAGCAGACTAAAGCGCCTGCTTGGACAAAGCGCAGGGACCGGGGTTGGATACCCAGCACCACATGCCGTACCACTGCCCCCATTGGAGGAGGGCACTGAGACGGTGACTGAGACTGGCCGTGGTGGCACGCACCTGTAATCCCAGCACTGGGGAGGCTGAAAACAGGAGGATCACTATGAGTCTGATCTGTGTAGTAAGACCCTGTACTAAATACATTTTTAAAAAAGATAAACGGGGCTGGAGAGATGGCTCAGTGGTCTAAAGCACCTACTTAGAACAAGCTTGGCAAGGCATCAGGGAC